CGGAGTTTGATGGCAGACTATACCCCTTTTCAAGACGAATGATGTTATTTCTACTGGTATTTTTCGTGGGCATTTCTGTAACAGTCAAAAGCCTTTACATGGAGTCACATTAAAACACTTGATAATTCTTTGCGGTTCTAATCTCAAAACCTAAAACAGACTAGTTGAAACACTGCACTGTAGACATTGCATAATGCTTACATACCCTTCCTTTTAAAAAAAGTACATATGAAAAGTGCAATTGCACAGTTAAACACGTGCAGAAAAAAAATCAGAAAAGCAAAAAAGGAAAAAATCAGTTCCTTGATTGTTTGAAAAGGAGACCAGGTCTAAACACAAAAGCATTTGGCAGTATGTGTACTTGCAGAACTGAACTGCTGGTGGTAGCTCAGAGTTTCATGGCAGTATCGCCTCCTGAAGAGAGGATGATGTTTCACCAGCAAAGTGACTTTTTTTTTTTTTTTCTGTTTTAGGAGTACAGCTGTCATTAGTGAGCACCTCTGTCTTATTAAAGTAGGGCAAGGGGGAAATGGGGGATTGCACTTCTGCCTAACATTGTTCTTTTGGCAAAACTTTTGAAGTGTGCCTGAAGTGGAAATAAAGCTACAGAGGCAGAAAACAGAAAGGGTGGAGGCCACAATGTACCATCCCATAGAATCGAAAAGATAGAAGAGCTAGAGGAAGAAAAAGGAAAAGTTTTTTTGATGGACACAACTGCCTTTAAGGAAGAAAGTGTTCTTTGGTTTTGTTAAGAAGCTGTGTAGGTGGAAGAGGTGTGAGGAGGGACCCTTTCAGACGAGGGAAGTTTATTGACCACGTAGAGAAAGAATATTTTTGGCTGTGATAAGAGTAGAAAGAAAACTGAATACTCTTACTGAGAACTGAGATAACTCTTGCCCTTTTGAAGTTCTTTCTTAGAAAGACAAAATTGAAAAAGACCCACACAACAGTTGATGCTTGCCTCTCCTTATCTCACATTTTAAATGAGCAAAGGGAGGATACGCACCATCCAAAAGTTTAAAAAAAAAAAAAGTTTCAGAAGGAAGAGTAGTAGGATAAGGAAGGGAGAGACCAAGGTGTGACCTAAGAAGAGGCAGAACAGCGGTGTAATTCCTATGACACCTTCCTGTGCAAAATGGGGAGCTCTAGACCAGAACTTCACCTGATTTTTTTAACATAGCCTTTTCATTAGTTAAATACAATTACTGAGACTAGCTAAGCAGCTGTTGTTCTTTCCATTATCTTCTGCCAAGTTTTTGTATTAGTCATTGGAATACCATAATTCTACCAATACAAATGTGAAACTGGAAGTTCTGGCTGTTGTACAGTTGTTCCTGGAGCCCTGTTGCATCAAGGAAATCCCGAGAAGCTTCAGACTGCATTGTTAGAGCACCAGCTGCATGACTGAGCTACAATTACCCACAGAAAGGGAGTTAATGCAGACACTGAATTTGCCAGAGTTTCGAAGACTCACCCCAGGAAAGGAACAGGAGCACTTCATGCCTCCTAGAACAATGTTTTCAGTCTGATTGAGAAATACAACTTAGCACAGAATTACCTCAATCTTTGTTTTCAAGAAATTATTTTCAGCCTGAAAAGTTACGAATTCAGTTTTACAGAAAAAATAAGGACGTGATTTCAGAGCAGAGAGTTATTAGCAGTGGGTGGGGAACTAATGCTGTAGTCATAGAATAATTATACCTTGACAGCAATGTATCAGTCAAAGTCATCTTTTTTTATCCCTAGAATTTGTCTTAATCTTTTTTTACTTCCCCTCCAAACTTCCACCCAAAGAAAATCTGTGCCTAAGAACAGGCAAGTGCTTGGATCTCCATATGCTTTTTAAAAAAAAAGTACTTTGTAGTTTTAGTGTATTTTTCAGCCTGTCACTGATGATTTTGTTCAGAAGCATTTCTGATAGCATGATAGGGAAATGCATTTATAATGACAAGAACATATGCCATGCGTATCCAAACATGACGAAGATATATTTGTCAGGGTGGTAGTGTCTATGAACATAAGCTACCAGCAGCCCTCTTGTATGAGCCTCCTTCGGCTAGGTAAGAACCTTGTGGCTACAACCCGAGCATGGCCACCTGCAGCATCTCTGTGCTCACAACACATGTTACAGAAGTCTGCTTCGGTTGCGACACATGATTTCACACAGGACTTTGCAAGATTTAAAAGAGAGGAAGAAACTCCAGGGAAAGAAACTCCTTATGTAGTGAGAAATTCTCTACAGTCTGGTTTAGGTTTAGGGGTTTTGTCTCAATATAATCAAAAAAGTCTTTCCATTCTGAATGTTTACACTAAGACTGTAGAGAGAAAGAAAGAAAAAGAAGAGAGCAGAAAGAAAAGACAAGAAAAATAGAACAATGGCTCTATCCCTCCATCATTCTGAGACTGGGTTTTTTAGTTACATGACACTCTGATGAAAGAAAATTAGTACCTTAACTTTTTTTCCACTACCTAAGGCAATGTATGTATTCATAGGTAGGGGAAATGGTGTCTTTCTTTTAACTATTTCAATTAAAACAT